AGTTTCCTGTGTCACTAATGGATGAAATCACAAACCAACTCAGCCTTGCCTCTCAAACTTTGTCTCCAAACTGCTCAGCCTGAGCTGTCCCTCTGATGCCCTCATTTCTAATCCTGTCCCTTCTGGTCACTCCTGCATCTTCAACTCTGCCACCTCCAGTTCCGCCTCCTGTGTTTTAGTCAGCGTCACACTTTCAAAGCCATAGCTCAGAGCAGGTATATATTATATGAGAGACAGAGTGCCATTTGGTTGGAACCAAAGGTCAAATGTGTTCGCTTGTATCTGGTTATTTGAATCTGTTCTTGTATATATGTTGTATTTATGTTGTATTCTTGGCACCATAGGGAAATGACATGGCATTGACATCAACTGACACTGGTTTTATCATTTAAAAATTATTAGGTCATGAGCTAGAAAGCAACTCATCTGAAATTTTGTCTGGAAGGAACTGTCAGAAGATGTCTCAATTCGATCGTGGCCAGGCACGGCCCGCCCTGATTTACATCATATCTGCTTAGATTAGCACAAACATGAAGCTGCACAGGCCAGGCCTGTGGCGTCAGTCAACCTCTCTGCCTGGGTGTGGACACTGAGGAGGTGTGTGTATGTGTGTTTGTGCTTGCGTCTACGTTGTACTGAGCTGTTCTCTCTCCATTATCAGATCTTTTTCAAGACACTGTGAACAGCGCTACAGAAAATAGCCATTAAAGTTGAATAACAGATTTTTGAAACAACTTTTTAAATTCATCATTAAAACTCATCCCACAGGTTTTAGAGGCCAATGTGGTGCGACCTGTTGGTTTTGTTGTTCTCTTTCTACAGTTTCTCCTACAGGGTAAATCTCAGTGTGCTCTGCTTTAACTCTCAGCAGTTTTACTTAGGTAAAAAAAAGGCAAGGGGATGAACTGGGAAATGAAGGGGGGGGGATAATGTAGTCATACAGGAATATCTTAAAGAACACACCTGGGATGAACTGAGTTAGAGAGACAGAGTAAATGTTAGCTGATACAACAACCTTGTGAGTCAAAACAGTGTGAGAAAGTGGGTGGTGATAGTGTTTTTCCTGCTGAGTTGTGAAGTTAATTTCAGCATACTGTTCTATTGTTAACCTCGTTTTATTCGTGTGTCATTGATTGGAAGAACTTAAGATACAGATTGTGGGGTCAGGTAAAGCAACACAGCCATTTAGGATTATTGATTAGCCGTTGCTCCTCTTTTCACCGGCACAACTCATATCATTGTGAGGCCTCTCATCTTAGTGGGCCAGCTGCTAGCAGTACACAATTGTTGCCATAGGGATGGTGTCCAGGGAGACAGCTGTGGCCTTTTAGCAGCAGCCACACAACAGACAGAAGGTCATTCCTCACCGAGGGAACCTTTCTCCAACTGTCCATCACAGATTGTTTCCAGGCAACAGGTCAAAAGCCTTTTTTTTTGTGTTGTGTTTCCTCTTGCCATTTAGGAAGCAAAATAACAAATTAAATTCAAGAAAAAACAGACACATGGGAATATAACTAATAAGCAGGCGATGAAATTAAGTTTCAACATCACAGCAAAGATTAAATTAAAAACTTTGAAATAGTAGCTTATATAACTTCCTAGCACCCTGGTCTCACACCTTCCTGTAACATATTAGCACCTTTTTAAATTGACATGGGGCAAACATGTTAGCAATCTGTTTCCTTTTTCTCATCCAGTTAATACTGACCCAACATGAGCATTTAAGCTCTCCCTATTAGTCCTGAGTCTTCATGTAGTAACAGACTGACTCCACACCAAAAAGACCCATAAAGCCATGCTGGCCCAAATAAAAATAATTTAAAATGTTAAAAAAAAAGTAAATATTTTCTCAGTTTATTATAATCTGAAGTAAATTGTATGCTACTATTGTTACCTTGGGAATATGTGATTATATACTCAGTGCATTTAGGTATGCAGACATGGTCGAGATGACCTATTCAAGTTCAAACCCAGCATCAGAATGGGGAAGAAAGAATTTAAGTAAGAAACTCCTGATCTACTGAGATTTCTGAAAAACAAGCATCTGTTGGGTTTACAGAAAATGGTCTGAAAAAGAGAAGATATCCAGTGTGAGGCAGTTCTCCAGGTGAACATGTCGTGTTGATGCTAGGAGAGAAGCCAGACTGCTTCCAGCTGACAGGAAGGAAACAATAATTCAAATAGCCACTCGTTATAACCAAGGTATGCAGAACAAATCTGTAAACCAAACCTACAAGCAGTAGGGCTTCAGCAGCAGAATACCACACCAGGTGCCCCTCCTTGGTCATTGTTGCTGCAGCATTTCGATGGTAGGGTAAAAATCTAGGGTAAATAACATGAAAGCATGGATCCATCCTGCCTTGTATCAATGGCCCATCCCATTGTGACCACAGTATACCAATCTTGGCTACTACCAGTGGGATAACACACCATGTCACAAAGCTTACATTATCTCAAACTGGTTGGTTGAACATTACAGTGAGTTCACTGTAGTCAGTGACCTCCAAAGTCTTTAGATCTCAGTACAATAGAGCACCTTTGGGATGTGTTGGAAGAGTAGATTCTTGCCATGAATGCACAGCTGAGAAATTTCCAGCAACTGTGCCAGACCTCAAAATCCAGGAAACAGTTCTGGTGCACTACCATATTTCTTCTCATCTTAAATCAAAGTGTATTTTATTGGAATTTGTTATTAGGCATCTTTTGACCATCACTCTCTACCTTTAGCCCAGTTGCAAAGTTATTAAGAGTGGCTCATAAAAAACATGAATAAATAAGATTGTTTTCAGCATTCTCAACAAGACAAGTGATGGAAGGGCTATCCAAAAATAGGTTCTTTTTGGTTTCTTTTAATGCCCCGACAAAGGCCACAGTGCATCTGCTTAAGGAAATGTGTAAGAATGAACCCTCTCTCATTACTGAGCTTCTCTTTGATCCATAGCTGAGTCTGTCTTTGCATGAATGACCATGGTGCAGTGCTGACTGTGTGAGTGAAGCTATCAGCAGCAACACCAAAAAGATTGTCAGGCACCCAGCTGGATTGCCTCCTAACAGTATCTCCCGTATTTAAAAATAGCACGCACACACAAAATTACACAACATTACTGCTTTATGTTGTGGTTACTTTGAATGTTAGGGAGGGGAAAAAAAATAAAAGACAAGTTTTGCTTTGACGGTTTTCTGTTTACATAGAGAGAGCAGTTTATCAGAAAGTTTTACACATAACGTTACTTCTCAGTGGAAGAAAGACTGATGGGAGACAGAAAGTTTGGTTAGTTTGTCATTTGTACAGTATCTAGCTTTAATAATTTGTGGCAAAAATAACAGCAGGTTGTGGCAAATTTTCAAATATGAAATTATGTAATTGATGTTATTATTTTAACTTGAAAAACACATTCAAATAAAACAAATTAAAAGGCTGCAAAGGAGGAACGGAGCTTGCAGATTTCACTCTCGAACTGATTTCAAACGATTGCCGCTCATAGCAGCAGCAGCAGCCACTACGCTCTGTCAGTTCCCCTCTGTCAGTGTGTCAGCGCTCCTGCTAATGGGCATGTTGCCAAGACAACGACTCAAACACCTTGCCATCTGGGACCACCTGGTGGAGGCCTCCAAAAGACAACTTCACTAACTTGACTTCACTACACAAATACATGCATGAAGGCAGAGTGCAAACTGGCACTCGCATCTACAACACACACCAAACCACCCGCCTATCTGTTTTGCACTGAATTATGCTAGCCTTTTAGTGCTCTTTTAGTAATATTTCATCTGGTATATCCAAGCCAAAAGAATATATATATCATTTGAAATATGACTGCGTTCGCTGTCAGAAGAGACAGACAAAAGTAGAAATTATGTGTCAAAAATTATGTCTGTGGAAAATGACATAACTGGGGTTCATAAGCAAGCATACCACTTTCTTATACTGCTGTTTCTCCTGGCGAAGTGTGGTTACTTCAAGCTTTAGAGCTCGGTTCCTCTCCTCCAGCAGTCGAAAGCGGCTTGCATGGTAGACAGTGGAGTGGCCTGTAGCTTGCTGAGATGAAACATCATATCTTGACTGCAAGACAAATAATAAAGACAAGAATAACCAGTGTTGAACATTCCTGTATTATTAAATACAATATCATTTTAGTAGTAGCTGTAATAGTGCTGGTAGAGCCAGGCTAACACTTCTGTGAAGCAGTCCTTCAACATCAACATTATCCTGCTGCTAAGATGTTACAAGTGATCATGTTCATATGATGCCATGCAGGTTTAGAGGTTTAAAGCCTCAGGCAGACTGGAACCAGTTGGTCAGCCCCAGGCACCACTGGTTGTTAGGATAAATGTGTATTCCATGACACCAACAACCTAGATGAACATCTGATGTGCTCATTTAAGTACAACTTAAAACTTTCGCATTTTGTAGTATTTTGTTTTACACTGGGCATATCAAACTCATTTTCCATGCAACGAAACTACATGAAAAATGTGTAAAATTACAGAAAAATTCTGGTAGTCCAGTGCCTAGATGGTCCTGTAAATTTTTGTTATTTCAAAGGAAATTACCTTTTTTTCTGTGAACTCCCAGATAAAAAAAACTATATATATATATATATATATATATATATTAGATAGTGAAAAACAGGAACTTTCTGTCATTTAATTGTTTATCTATTACATAATTACTTTGCTGTAATATTTATCGATGGGAAAAGCTATAAAAAGTTTAGAAATCTATGCACTCCTTCACATTTCACATTTTCCAGAGCCATCCAGTGGTCCCGATTGGAGTCTTTGCCAGGCTAATTCTGGCCCCCTGGCTTTATGTTTGATACCTCTGTCCTAAACCAAAAAACTAAATCAAATGTGACCCTGTGCATATTAGCAAATATATTATCCATAGGGAAACATGAAAGTGTCTGTCTATTATCATCTAATGGCAATTACCCAAAACCTTAAAAGCGAAACTCAGGTGGATCACATGGAAGATGTGCAGCAGACAAGTTGTGTCATAAAATCCTCCAGTGTCTATAAAACAATCTGTTGTCCACACAGGAGTCATCACCCTTGTAATAATATTTAAACACACAATCACATTATATTATTAATGTGGATATCAGTGCCACATTTACTAGAGATATTTCACTACAAAACCTGGCAACCTCATGGTGACCTAACAGGAAACATAAGGCAACCATTATCTGCATAAAATCATCTGGCACTTTATTCAAGTTATTTAACCAACCAATTCACATGATTAATATACAGTAAAGAGAAGCCATATTGACAGTGTTTCTTACAACAGTCTACTGCTTCAGTCCCATATGGTCAGTGACAGGAAAGGGATTAGCGGGTCTGATAATGAAGCTGCTGCAGCTCAGTCTGCACATCAGTGTATTTTTTTTTAAATTTTCTTGATGGCATAAAAAAGCCTTTAAAATCCAAAATTTCACTTGCTTAAATTCTCAGTGGAAATGTAGTGCATATCTGCAACAGGCAGGCTGGAAGCATCCCTTGTGCTGCTGAGTTAGTCTTCTTTCATGAAAGACATCCATCGGAGCAGTTTGGTGGCACTTTTCCATTCATAGCTGTCGTGTTTTGGAATAGAACTGCTATGCTGTCAGTCTTTTTTCCAAGTTTCCAATCACGCTGGAGCTACCAGAGGGACTGTAGATAGCAGAGGTATTAGGCAGCTTTTTTTGCTGAAGTGAGAGAAAATCTGATTTAAGATACAGTAAAAATGTATTTGTGCCTCCTGGAATTAAACACAACCCCGAAGATAGAAGGATGCATTTTGCTCTGATATATATATATATATATATATATATATATATATCAGAACACAGAACATTCCCCTGTACGTAAGGCTAAAGAAAGATTTGGTGCTGTGCTACACTCTGCTTACTTTAAGTATTACAGGAAAATGTTAGAGAAGTATAATCTGAAATGCCTGAAAAAGCATTGGTCTTTCATATTTGTCTCCTGAAAAAGCACACTTAGCCTGCCCAGACACACAAGTATTACCACATTAGCACCTCAAACAAAGGAAAGCTTTTGCCTGCATTACTTTGAAGTCTGTTCTCTTTTGTCTTTTCCCTCCCTACACTAGCTTTTCATCTATTTTTTTTAAGTTACTAAACCCATCTCAAGGAACTTTAAGGCTGTGGTCAAATTGTCAGCCCACTGTTCTCATCAAGCATTATTTCTTTTTACCAATCCCTGACAGACCAACCAACAGATGGCTCTAACTTCAGTTTATATTATTCTAATATATCAATTTGCTTGTTACCAGAACAGTTGGTATTTTGGCACACAAAACAATTCACACACTCGCACACATACAAACAATAACCAGATCCCCTTGATGGAAAGCCAAACTATCACACTCCACAAAGCACATACGAAAAAACAAAGTTGCAGACAAGATGACAGTTTACCCACAGAGCGTAAGCTACTGAAGCCAGTACGATGGAAGTGCCAAGTAGACAGAAAGACAGACAGATCCACCTGCTAATACACCAGACCCGCTAAGCAGTCGAGCCTACACATATATCCACCAGTGTAATATGGTGATCTTTCCAAGAACAGACAGAGAGATGGACCTGCCAACCAGTGCTGTTGGTTTTCCAAACAGACAGACAGACTAACACATTCTGTCAGGCTGTTCAGAGCAAGATATTAGGCCATATTGACGTCCCTATGAGAGCTGATTTTGTGAGTCATTTACCACAGAACCACTGGTTTCCAGATTTAACATGCTAAAAAATATATATGGCTTATATATGGCTAAAGGCAGGTAACCTCTTTAGTGACTTGACAACAAAATGAAAATATTTTCTCAGCTTCATTTAAAATATTTTGGACATTTTAGCATCTGGGTGACTGGACTCTGGAGCAAACACATAAACTCTAATCACAGGCAGTTAAGACATCCAAGGGAGACATGATACCATACAATCAGACTCCTAATTTAGCAGAGTTTGATGCATGCAAGCACTGCAACCAGTCCCTTGTCTGGCAGGGCCCAATTGTGCCGTCCACACAGGAGTCGTCATTCTTGTACTGAGGAAGCTGGCAAAGCTGCTCTGACAGCAGTTACGTCAGAGTTTAGAATAATGGCACACTCATGCACACTGGGGTCACAGGAAATACCAACAGCATTTGCTTCTAAATGTGAGCCAAAAAAAGAGCAATTAAAGGAAGATTATAAAAAGTCCAGATGCTAAGCTGGTATTTTATCCATTCTCTGCCTTTAATTCAGAGAGAATGAGCAAAAGGCAAAATGTTTTTCCATCAAACACATCTGAGTCACTCCTGGGTGACTAGGAGTGACTCAGATGTGTGACTAGGTAAAAGGTGTAGGCGTAGCTAACAAGTCACCTTGATCTCTTGATTTAGGCCACCAAATGTCCAAAGTAAAACTTTAACAGATCTTTAAAAAGCCTGGAGAACTGTTGGTCAGGAGCACAAATAAAAATTACAAGAAAATCCAGCTCCTGAGGGGTGGCTCAAGATTTTTGCACAGTGCTGTACATCCAATATTCTGCACAAGTTATGGATAACCATAAGACAACAGAAAATATTACCAATATTAATACCATATAAATCGGCAGACTGAGGGCAGAGGGATGAGATGAATTAATTAGTTGAGAAAATTCAGACACTATACAGAAACAGTCTCAGAAACAATCAGCGAGAAGACCTTGCAGCAGCAGTATACATAAGATTTTTACCATCTGATAATTTTCTTTTGTATTTAATATCTCAATGATTTTACATAAATAGTAATAATAATTTACAAGTGTTTGTATAAATATGCCACAGCATCTCATAAGTTGCTCTGAAGTAGTAAAATCTGCCTGTTCCCCATAAAACCAGTCTGTTTTACTTCCACTCATGCAGTCTCCGCCTGCGTGACAACCTTTGGGAATACAGCAATACTCCACTCTCAGAGGAAGTGTATGCCTCCAGTCTGATTTAATGCACTGGCCAAGGTTCTTACCTGTGTGCAGTGTGGTTGGTTTATATTGCCGTTGTGTGTGTCTTTGTTGATTTCAGTGACCCACAATGTAAGATACTTTCACTTCAGATTTTATATGTTCTGTCGAGAGTCTTTTTAATTTTGTTTTGTTTGTTTTTTACTTCCATCTAAGGGATATATTCCTTTTTTGTGTTTATTTACTGCTATACTTAACTTCCATGACATATTTCACAGAGCCGTGTTCATAATTTTCTGATGAAGTGCCAAGGAGCAGCGCACTAAAAAAGGTAGGCAGGTGAACGACGCAAATATTTATTGCATTGATACCAACACTGGTATTGGTATTGGGTCGATATTAGTGTGACAGGATAGATACTTTCTTTCTATCCTCCAAGTTTAGTATGATGGCCACTGATTTGTGTTAAATAATGAAAAGCTGAAAGGTGTGTATTGTGTTAACTAAGTATTTTGGAAACTAAAAATCTCACTGATTTAGTGGTTATTAAAATGTGTTAAGAATTTCTCAATTGATGATGATTAATCTCATAAACACCGAGGCACTGCTCTCTACTCTACATAAGCTTCCTTTATCAGATAAAAGTATCGGTATCAACAATATTGGCCCAGCATTTACTTGGTATCTAATCTATGCCAAAATGTTCAATATGGTACAGCACAAGAACACATTTCTGGGAAATAAAAATAGCAAAATAACATTCATTAAAGGCTATGAAGGCAAGCAGCAGAAACCTAAAAATACAGGGAGCTTAATTTATGCACAATACCGGTGACAACAGCGGTGATGGACGCACAGTGAGTGCATTATCCATTTAAAACTAATGAACAACTGGAGGCTGGGGGAACTGTTTATTAACCAAAGCAGATAATGTGGGTAGCTATTAAGATGTTACAGCATATGATTATGTAATAGGGGCTTTTTACTTCTTTATATCCCTCACAGTTAAGCTTCACTCCCATTTTCCAGCAATTAATAGCTACCAACTTTATCAGCACGCAGACAAATGCTGTGTGCATTCAAGAGTCTGCTTAATAAGAATCACATTTTCTGGGACGTCTGTGGATTGCTGCTTTGTTTGATGACTCCCGCTAAAGGCACACAGTAGAATAGATTAGGGAGGCAGCATGTGGTGGCTGGACTTGAACCAAGGGCACTGTGGTTAAGTGGCGTGTGCTTAGCCAACCGCGCTGCCAGGATACCCCGAAGGTAATCTTTTTTTGACTAGGGGGAATTTAAATTTATTGTCATGTCGCCATCTGGCGAGGAAGTGAAACACTTGCATCCGTGCTGCCTGATGCTTGAGGTGGATGCATATGATCAAAAACAAAGAAAGAAAGGACGAAGCATAGGAAGAAATCCAGCCAAGATTTTCAGAGAAACAATTCGCCCACTGCTCCTTTGAGGAAGAACCGTTTATATTTTTAATACAGTTATTTATTTATTTATTTATTTTAAAGAGGTTTGCACAGTAATGTTAGCGTGCAGTGTTTTTGCAAAGAGACCCACGGTAATAACACTGTCCCTACCGCAAACGCAGTATCCTTTTTGTCCCGAATTGTCTCTCTTTTCTTCCCGTCACATCACGGACCGGCAGCGGAGGCGCAGGCGACACGTCACTGTGCGTAACCCACACTTGTGTGTGTGTGTGTGTGTGTGTGTGTGTGTGTGTGTGTGTGTGTGTGTGTGTGTGTGTGTGTGTGTGTGTGTGTGTGTGTGTGTGTCGGGGTCTTAGAGCTTCAACAGCTTGCCTAGTCCACACACACCAGTGGCTGGCCTGGATTATCACCTTAACAGCGAGACCAAAAACAGTGCCACCTTCCTGGCACCCAAACAGTTCCTGTGTTGTGCCAAAAAGTGATTGTCTGCCAAAAACTGATTTCCAGTGTTTCTGTGTATTTTTTATGTGTAATATCTTTACGTATTTAATGAGATTTTTTTTACTGCATAAATAAAGGTTATATAAAAGTCACTGCCAAAAACTGATTGCGTCTTCTATCTTGTTACAAGAATGTTGTTTGTGGCTCAAGATGACTTTATGTCATCCATAAGGGATGCATTTTACATATGTTTAACATATTATAGCCCAACAAGTTACTTATAGCGCTTTAAATATGAGAAATCGCTTTTTGGCAGACAATCACTTTTTGGCACAACACCTGCATCCTCTCACCATCGCTGCCACACACCCTCCCCCCACCTCCACCTTTCTACTGTTGTCAGTACCTTTCTCTCTTGCTACGTCTGTCATCCAAATGATGTGTTCAATTGACCAAACATCAACTTGAACCAAGGGCACTGTTTCACACACGAAAAAAGGAGGGATGTGTTGGAGGGGCAAGCACAGCATTAAATCATACATCGTCCTCTTCACCTGACCTCCACGCAGGTGAAGTGAGGCTCATATTTTGAGTTCAGAAGTTGTCTAATTTGCTAAATAATCTTAGATAATCTTGATGTTAGATAATGATGTCTGCCTTTCTCACTTGATACGTACATGTTTCCAGAAATGAAGAGCTTTTGCTGAAACATACAATACTGTGTAAAAGTACTGAGCCACCCCACATTTCTTTATAATGTTGTAGGAAAATGGGAAATATGTGCTGGAAATTAATTGAAAGGTGTGTGAAAACTCACATGGAAATACATTATATAAGGCAAAAACAGAGTTTGTACCATTCTAATGAGCTTGAAAGTCAATATTCAGTATTTGGGTTCCTTTGTAAGTGCGCATGTGCCATTAGCGTGCTGCATGCTGTAACCTATAATTTCCTTCGGGATTAATAAAGTATTCTGATTCTGATTCTGATTATTCTTCAAGACAGTCTGAACTGTCTTAGGAGAGCTTTCCTGTGATATCTTCAAGCAGTCATAAGATTATATAGTTCCTCCTGCTTCTTGAGCTTCATTTAAAGTTGTTCTTTGGGTGTTTTTTGTTTGTTTTTGTGTTAAGTTGGTTGTTTTAGTTTGTTTTTGCTCCTTTATCTGTCGAGATGCTTGAATAATGCTGAGGTCTGAGCTCTCATCCATCACTCATAGTGTTCCATTGTATGTTTTTATATCCAGGTGTGCTTTTACTGCATTAGGTATGTGTTCGGGATTACTGTAACGCTGAAAAATGAAGCCATTAACAATGAGATGCTTTCAAGACAGGTATTACATGATGGATCAAAATTTGATGGTACTTTCCTATATCAATAATTCCATCAATTTTAACAAGATCTCCAAGCTGAAAAGCAGTCCCAAACCATGGCAGAGCATCCGCCATATGTTACAGATAGACACTCACTGTTGTAGTTCTCTCCTGACATCCTCTGCACATATCAATGATGATTCAAACCTTAGATTTAAAATCTGGATTCATGACTCTGTGTGTTCTTATGTAATTTTGCATGCCTCAGCCTTTTCTCCCTGCTTCCCTTTGTTCAGAAAGGCTTCTTTACAGCCAAACTGTTATCTTTGGCATTTCTCACAGATTTAGATAAAGAAATGGGAAGAAACAAGGGGGGCTTGTAACAAGAGAAATCTTTTTTTTTTGCTAAAATGTTTGTTATCTGTAGCCATATCACTGGTTCAGCCCTTGAGATAGGTCCCTTTTTATGCTCGAATGATTCATAAGTCAGTGTTAAGTGGCTTAACAAACAAAGACAAAACCCCTAACGCTGGTCAAGTACAAGGAGTGGGCTGTAAATGAGAGAAAAAGCCTCCTATGTCCAAAGAGAAACTTTGAAAGACCTTCATAAAACCTCGAGAACTATTGCTCAAGACAACTTAAAAAATTACAAGAAAGTCTGACTTCCAAGTAGTCAGACTTTATTTGGAAGTAGCCACTTCTTCAAACAAACAATACAGAAGTAGACCTTTATGCCTCAGAATCAACACCTTGTTAAAAACTCAGACTATACCCTCGACTCCACTCTGTTTCATCCATGTCTACCTACAGCATTTTAAGGTTTGGAACTTTTCTCTAGGATTAAAACACTGTCATGTTCCTGGTCCCAGTCCTACCTTGCATCCTATTTGCTCTTTTCACCTCCTCTAAATCCCTGAGAGAGGGCTCAAATTAAATTAGGTTTTAGTGAGGTTACATCAGCGCCAGGCACTCAATGTATTATGTAGTACTAGTTCTCGGTTTAGCTGGGACAGAGCAAAGAGTACGGAGTGGAGGACAGAATGAAAGAGACACATGGGACAGAGGACAGGATAGAAAGACAGGAAGGAGAGGTGAAAGCGGGATGTACCACTGTTCCACTCTGTTGCCTAGCAACACGTGCTTGCTGTCTGTTCTCATCTTTACTGTAGGCACATTTACTCTTGCAGTGAACTGGTTTCCAGCCATGACATGACGCCCTGTGAGGTTGGGAATGAGGAACAGATGGAAACTGGATTGGACAGAATGGCTCCTTTAAATATGCAAATAACTGAAGGCAAATTGTAATTTAAGTACTTCAAAACAGGGTGATTATGCTTTTCAATATCATTATCTTCTGTAATATATATATATATATA